TAAAAGCTCCAACGACCTAACTAAGGCAGGCAAACAAATAACCATCTTGTGGATACCCGCCCACGTAGGAATATACGGTAATGAAAACGCCGATAAAGCAGCCAAACTATCCCTCAAAATCCCAGTAATAAGCTTAAACTTACCCATCTCAAAATCAGAAATTAAAAGTGTAAACAAGCAAAAAATCACAAAAAAATGGCATAACCTATATCTAAACTCAAATAGCCAAATCAAAAAAGTGCTCGGCAAACCACTAACCAAACCAAAAATTCTCCATCCATCCAAAAAAATCGACAGAGTAATCACTAAACTCCAAACAGGACACACCAACTTAAATATCCACCTACAAAAATTTAAAAAAACACACTACAGGTAACTGCCCACACTGCAAACAACCAGAAACCCCAGAACACGCACTCATCCACTGCACACACTACCTAACACATCGAACCGCATTACAAACCACCCTCAATCTAAACAAGGCTCTAACTCTAGAAGCAATACTAAACCCACAAAATAAACTAGAAAACTTCAAGGCCTTAGGCGTATTCTTAATAAAAACGGAACGAATAAAACGCATCTAAAAACACAATTACCTACCAAATCAAAATCACATAAACAAACAAACATCCACCATACCCAGCTCCCTTAGTTCCCCTCCCCAATCCCATCGGCATCTATTCCAAATCTCAAAATTCCCAAATTCTATATAAGCAACCCCTAAAATCCCCCTCTTGGGTTGCACAGACCACCTTCGCCCCTTTCGCAAACACATTAAATGGCCTGGCCGGGCCCGTGTGCGAAATACGCATCAGTCGGAAAGCGCACGTTAAATCTCCAAAGTAAGTAAGTAAGTAAGGAACAGATTCCAGAGCTCCTTGTATTTCACCGTCCGACCAAACACAGTGATCTGGTAGAGGAACATATCCAGAGTTCTCATCAACTCCGGTTTCACATAGTGGAAGCTTATGGTCAGCTGTGAGCAGCACTCGAGGCCCTGTGCCAAGAACAGAAAAAAAATATAATGTCTGGTGTTTTTCATTTGTACAATTCATAACTACAACAATATTCCACAATTGCATACAGGTAAGAGGGGAGTCTCACAGGAAGGTTTGATAATAGGATGTGTACCTATTCTATGCATACGTTTATTACTTAATCTTAAATGAATCCCAGGAACCTAATACTGTCACTCTACATATAGATTGTTTACTACTGACGCGTTACTGTCACTCTACATACATATTGTTTACTCCTGACGCGTTACTGTCACTCTACATACAGATTGTTTACTACTGACGCGTTACTGTCACTCTACATACAGATTGTTTACTACTGACTCGTTACTGTCACTCTACATACAGATTGTTTACTACTGACGTGTTACTGTCACTCTACATACAGATTGTTTACTACTGACTCGTTACTGTCCTTCTACATACAGATTGTTTACTACTGACGCGTTACTGTCACTCTACATACAGATTCTTTACTACTGAGGTGTTACTGTCACTCTACATACAGATTGTTTACTACTGACGCGTTACTGTCACTCTACATACAGATTGTTTACTACTGAGGTGTTACTGTCACTCTACATACAGATTTTTTACTACTCACTCGTTACTGTCACTCTGCATACAAATTGTTTACTACTGACACGTTACTGTCACTCTACATACAGATTGTTTACTACTGACGTGTTACTGTCACTCTACATACAGATTGTTTACTACTGACTCGTTACTGTCACTCTACATACAGATTGTTTACTACTGACGTGTTACTGTCACTCTACATACAGATTGTTTACTACTGACGTGTTACTGTCACTCTACATACAGATTGTTTACTACTGATTCGTTACTGTCACTCTACATACAGATTGTTTACTACTGACGCGTTACTGTCACTCTACATACAGATTGTTTACTACTGACACGTTACTGTCACTCTACATACAGATTGTTTACTACTGACGCGTTACTGTCACTCTACATACAGATTGTTTATTACTGACGTGTTACTGTCACTCTACATACAGATTGTTTACTACTGACTCGTTACTGTCACTCTACATACAGATTGTTTACTACTGACGCGTTACTGTCACTCTACATACAGATTGTTTACTACTGACACGTTACTGTCACTTTACATACAGACTGTTTACTACTGACGCGTTACTGTCACTCTACATACAGATTGTTTACTACTGACGCGTTACTGTCACTCTACATACAGATTGTTTACTACTGACACGTTACTGTCACTTTACATACAGACTGTTTACTACTGACGCGTTACTGTCACTCTACATACAGATTGTTTACTACTGACGCGTTACTGTCACTCTACATACAGATTGTTTACTACTGACGCGTCACTGTCACTCTACATACAGATTGTTTACTACTGACGCGTTACTGTCACTCTACATACAGATTGTTTACTACTGACGCGTCACTGTCACTCTACATACAGATTGTTTACTACTGACGCGTTACTGTCACTCTACATACAGATTGTTTACTACTGACGCGTTACTGTCACTCTACATACAGATTGTTTACTACTGACACGTTACTGTCCCTGTAATATACTGAAAACACAACAACTAGATTTGCTGCAAGGAAAAGGATGACATACAGCCCACTCAGCCACAGGCCTGAACACCCGATCCCCTATTTTAGTCTGATCTACTTACTTGATTAAAATTAACTCCACTGCAATTTGGGTGGCAACAAATAGGACCTTGTGTATTCTCAACGCCACCCACTATCTTAACAAAGTCAGTGAGTGAGGTTTTACGCTGCTTTTAGCAATATCGCAGCAATATCACGGCGGAGGACACCAGAAATGGGCTTCACACATTGTACATGTGGTGAATCGAACCTTGGTCTTCGACAATATGAGCGAACGCTTAAACCACTAGGCTACCCCACCGCCCCCTTAATAAAGCAGTGATGAACATAGGCATATATAGGCTAGACTTGTGATCCGAACAGAACAACAAACAGAACGTCATTAGAACACAAGGGTAATACTTATCAGATAACACAGATTTTGAAGAGAAAAGGTAACGGTTCTATTGGCTGAATACATTTTATTTCTGATCATAGCCTAAAACCTGTCATGTATTTTTGTGTTTATGTCTATATATTCAGACAATATTGTACATATCACTTAAATATAACACACTGCATTCTATCATAAATTTCAAATATGCTCGATTCTGAGTAGATTTTGTTGAACAGAGATTTAAAACTAAAGTGACCATTTCAGATTGAAAAATGGTGATTTGAAGGCCGCTTCACAAAATGCCTAGGGGGTCATGTTCAAAGAAACCCAGATAACACCAGTTTAATGAATAGTACCGGTATTTCCTAAATTAAATCGGTAACCCACTCAAAACAACGGACTCGCCACAAAAGGTGTTGAGAATATAAAGTCGCATTAATTGTTGAGAATATAGATTTTCACGGACCGCTCACCTTACGATATCTATTATGTGCAGTGATTGTGGACGGAACTTTGCGCTTTCCAGCTTGGAATGACACGGGCGCCGCAGCATGGAAGGACGATCTGTTATGCATGTCTAAAGATAGATATGTTGGCATTGCCAGTTTATACAAACACGTTGCTGTCTGAATGTCTTCACTGGAACCTGAAGGACGACATCGTCCTGGCACCCTGTAACCCTGCTCCACCAGTCGACGGAGGGCTTCTCTGCTGAGTACATATCCTGCTCCACCAGTCGACGGAGGGCTTCTCTGCTGAGTACATATCCTGCTCCACCAGTCGACGGAGGGCCTCTCTGCTGAGTACATATCCTGCTCCACCAGTCGACGGAGGGCTTCTCTGCTGAGTACATATCCTGCTCCACCAGTCGACGGAGGGCTTCTCTGCTGAGTACATATCCTGCTCCACCAGTCGACGGAGGGCTTCTCTGCTGAGTACATATCCTGCTCCACCAGTCGACGGAGGGCTTCTCTGCTGCGTACATATCCTGCTCCACCAGTCGACGGAGGGCTTCTCTGCTGAGTACATATCCTGCTCCACCAGTCGACGGAGGGCGTCTCTGCTGAGTACATATCCTGCTCCACCAGTCGACGGAGGGCTTCTCTGCTGAGTACATATCCTGCTCCACCAGTCGACGGAGGGCTTCTCTGCTGAGTACATATCCTGCTCCACCAGTCGACGGAGGGCTTCTCTGCTGAGTACATATCCTGCTCAACCAGTCGACGGAGGGCTTCTCTGCTGAGTACATATCCTGCTCCACCAGTCGACGGAGGGCTTCTCTGCTGAGTACATATCCTGCTCCACCAGTGGACGGCGGGCTTCTCTGCTGAGTACATATCCTGCTCCACCAGTCGACGGAGGGCTTCTCTGCTGAGTACATATCCTGCTCCACCAGTCGACGGAGGGCTTCTCTGCTGCGTACATATCCTGCTCCACCAGTCGACGGAGGGCTTCTCTGCTAAGTACATATCCTGCTCCACCAGTCGACGGAGGGCTTCTCTGCTGAGTACATATCCTGCTCCACCAGTCGACGGAGGGCTTCTCTGCTGCGTACATATCCTGCTCCACCAGTCGACGGAGGGCTTCTCTGCTGAGTACATATCCTGCTCCACCAGTCGACGGAGGGCTTCTCTGCTGGGTACATATCCTGCTCCACCAGTCGACGGAGGGCTTCTCTGCTGAGTACATATCCTGCTCCACCAGTCGACGGAGGGCCTCTCTGCTGAGTACATATCCTGCTCCACCAGTCGACGGAGGGCTTCTCTGCTGAGTACATATCCTGCTCCACCAGTCGACGGAGGGCTTCTCTGCTGAGTACATATCCTGCTCCACCAGTCGACGGAGGGCTTCTCTGCTGAGTACATATCCTGCACCGCCGTTCATGTATCCATGAGGTTACGATGTGCCAACGAACGTAGACAGGTTTGTTGGAGTTTAAATGGGAAAGGACGAATTTGAGGTTATCTACTAAAACATACGTGTCATCATCAGCCTTGATAAACCAGTCGTACTTGTCTAGTGATGTGGTGTACATGGGTGTGAAAGCATGGACAACCTTCTCGGTTAAAGCAGCACGATAATCAGAGATTGTCACTCCTAATATGTCCGGCCGTGTTTTGTTGGTTGTCATCACATACAAAAACTTGTCACATCTCTTGCCCCACGTCTCATTGACGGCCTTCGGTTTCGTCCCCGAGTGGACCTCCCTGGTGGTGATGAAACAGGCCAGCCGGACCTTCCTGGACAGAGCTGCAGCCACGGTGGTGTCCACGGAACTGTCCACGGAGCTCTCCACAGAGCTGTCAACGGAACTGTCCACAGCTCCTGCAAGTGGGGCAACAATTGGATGTTATATAATGATCCTACATCAATCATGGAGCTCCCCATATCTACTGCAAGAGGGCCAACAATTGGATGTTATATAATGATCCTACATCAACCATGGAGCTCCCCACAGCTACTGCAAGAGGGCCAACAATTGGATGTTATATAACGATCCTACATCAATCATAGAGCTCCCCACAGCTACTGCAAGAGGGCCAACAATTGGATGTTATATAATGATCCTACATCAATCATAGAGCTCCCCACAGCTACTGCAAGAGGGCCAACAATTGGATGTTATATAATGATCCTACATCAATCATAGAGCTCCCCACAGCTACTGCAAGAGGGCCAACAATTGGATGTTATATAACGATCCTACATCAATCATAGATCTCCCCACAGCTACTGCAAGAAAAGCAACAATCGGATGTGAAATAATGGTCCTACTGTGTCTGAGTTAAGCTGCGGCATGGCATCTCAGTGAGCTAGCACTAAAAATCCGCTTCAGTACGGACTAATACACGCAGCCACACACACACACAAACACGTGCATGCACGTCGCAATAGTTTTAACCATTATTTATCCGTACTAGGTCAGCAATGTACCTGGCCTTGAATTTGAATTTCTTGCCCAGATTTCCTTTCTTTCATTTTGCCGATTCGAGAATGAATTCCGATTGATTGCATAAAGTAACAGATTAGAAAGGAGGGGAGCACAATTGGTACCCATGGGGATGACTACTTCCTACCTCAATGTCTTATACCCAAGTTTTACATGGACGCGTTATCGATTAGGAAGTCGAGCATTTTATATTTTGTTTCCTCAGATAGAATTAGTCTTCATTTGTTATAACTTATCCTTTAGAAGTGTATTTCATAGTTTGACCTCTTAATAGAGTTTCGAAATAATAATGGTAATATATTTTAAATCTGGCATTGCCTTGTTCGTCGACCCTTTTTTTTTAATGTTCTGTTTTAGTTTCTTTTTCTCCAAAGTTTTGTCGGTTAGTAGGGAATTAGGGAACAGGGAGTTTGTCATTTTGGGTCGTACTGGATACAATTTGAAAAAAATCAAATGTTTTGAACAAAAGAGGAATGGGCTGTTTTCTGTTTTTCCCAATAAACAAATCGTTCTGTGTGGTCTGTGTAAGGGCGTCTTACTGAGTAAACGATGTCTGTCAAAAAGAACAGAAACGTCAAAATCAAGGGAAGAACACAGTGAATGAAGAATACTTTGGGACTACTGAGAAGTTACACAAAACGCCCTCATGGTATTCCTGGTTTTGATAAAGGGTCCAGCAACCTATCCTGTTCATAATGGGTGAGGAAATGGTTCAGGTGGTCAGAATCGGTGACTTGTATAAACACGTCATCGTACCCGACAGTGGGAATCGTTTACAGGCCACCGTTATCTTGGTGGAATATTTTGTGTGTGCAGCTTTCAACAACAAACAATGTCCAATCTAAAATAATCTAAAGATACCCGGACAACGACATGCAAAACAAGCATATGAGGGGGTTCTCTATTTGGATTTATACTTAGCTTTCCATCAGTCGAGGGGGCACGAATCTCGGTTCGCCCCGATTATGTTTCTAGGTTTGTCAGCACCATACCCGTGCTCTTGGGTTTCACCGAAGTGGTAAACGTCTGAGACCTGCATCACTTCGAGCTTTCCTCCCACATTAAGCTGGCACGCCGTGATGTAACTGGAATATTGTTAACAGCGGCGTTAAACCCAACCTACTCACTCACTCCATCAGTCGAGGTTTGTTGACAGGGAACGTTCATGTCACGTCGTATTAGAAAGTCATACAGGTGATAGCGCCTTACGACCAACACAGAATGAAGATTGGTAGGCATCCAAGCATCAGTGAACGTATAGTTCCGTCTTTCCGATGATTTGTCATACATACTTTCCTTATGGATGGTTGGGTGTTGGTGAAGCTTGTCCCAGCCATTTGCATAATGCTTGGTGGATGACTGACCTGAATGTGTTATTATGATGAAAGAAGCGACCACACCCACAGCCAGCACCGCGTACAGCACGTAGTTCTTCACTGAAGTCTTCATGTCTAGGCCATAAATTCACAATCACCTGTAACACAATGTGCCTCTTAATGGTGTTTATATTGACTAATATTTCGTTTAATTTCGTAAAAATACAGTATGCACACTTTGTGTGGCAGTTGAGCCCTGCATGAACGTTTATAGGTCCGTACTTTCCTTGTTCTTACAGGTACATGTATATATATACGCATAGCATTTATTTATTTAATGAAGGAGTAGGTATATAGTCCGTAACGTTGTGTTCCTCATAAAAAATTGGTTTTCAATAACTGCTCTTCCTTATGAGTGTCAAATCTCAATGCCACTGATAGACTTGATATAAAACGAGTTTGAAAAAAAATAGAAACAAATGAGAATTGTTCAACACATAACAGGAGCAGGTCAAATCACATGGATGGTATATACTTACTTGGTAGTTGTCGTTAGACCAGTCTGATACACGTGTATGAAGCCGTCCCGTGCATCATGGATGGTATATACTTACTTGGTAGTTGTCGTTAGGCCAGTCTGATACATGTGTATGTAGCCGTCCCGTGCAACATGGATGGTACATACTTACTTGGTAGTTGTCGTTAGACCAGTGTAATAAATGTGTATGTAGCAGTCCCGTGCATCATGGATGGTACATACTTACTTGGCAGTTGTCGTTAGACAAGTGTAATAAATGTGTATGTAGCAGTCCCGTGCATCATGGATGGTACATACTTACTGGGTAGTTGTCGTTAGGCCAGTCTGATACATGTGTATGTAGCCGTCCCGTGCATCATGGATGGTACATACTTACTGGGTAGTTGTCGTTAGACCAGTCTGATACATGTGTATGTAACCGTCCCATGCAACATGGATGGAACATACTTACTGGGTAGTTGTCGTTAGACCAGTCTGATACATGTGTATGTAGCCGTCCCGTGCAACATGGATGGTACATACTTACTGGGTAGTTGTCGTTAGACCAGTCTGATACATGTGTATGTAGCAGTCCCGTGCAACATGGATGGTACATACTTACTTGGTAGCTGTCGTTAGGCCAGTCTGATACATGTGTATGTAGCCGTCCCGTGCAACATGGAGGGTACATACTTACTTGGTAGTTGTCGTTAGGCCAGTCTGATACATGTGTATGTAGCCGTCCCATGCAACATGGATGGTACATATTTACTGGGTAGTTGTCGTTAGACCAGTCTGATACATGTGTTTGTAGCCGTCCCGTGCATCATGGATGGTACATACTTACTGGGTAGTTGTCGTTAGACCAGTCTGATACATGTGTATGTAGCCGTCCCGTGCAACATAGATGGTACATACTTACTGGGTAGTTGTCGTTAGACCAGTCTTATACATGTGTATGTAGCCGTCCCGTGCAACATGGATGGTACATACTTACTGGGTAGTTGTCGTTAGACCAGTCTGATACATGTGTATGTAGCCGTCCCGTGCAACATAGATGGTACATACTTACTGGGTAGTTGTCGTTAGGCCAGTCTGATACATGTGTATGTAGCCGTCCCATGCAACATGGATGGTACATACTTACTGGGTAGTTGTCGTTAGACCAGTCTGATACATGTGTATGTAGCCGTCCCGTGCAACATGGATGGTACATACTTACTGGGTAGTTGTCGTTAGACCAGTCTGATACATGTGTATGTAGCCGTCCCGTGCATCCCGGTTTGGGACAACTCATGTCATCCGTACAAACGTCTTGTGTTATGTCGCCTGCCTCTATCAAAACGTTATTTCGTCCAGGTGAATGAGCATGGTTTGACAAAGGATTGAGTCACAACACGCATTTACCTGTTCTTCACAACCCCTCGTCTTAGTGACGACTTCACGCTCTGGTTAACCTTCTTCTCACCAAATGCAGGCCACAAATTATATATCAGCGCAGGATGAGAGTCTTATCGGTTTACAGTACAGTGTGTGCTTGTAACACTGCTGTTAGAGATATACTATGACGGCTGTAAACAATCGAATCTGGCTAGGTAAACTAGTGGTTGATAGCATGAGCACTTTCTTTCGTTTCAGTTAGGGTACATGTATTTCCATTCCTTGTTTCTAGCTGGGCTAAACCCTTTCTAAAGATAAGACATAATTCTATCCTTTCTGCCGAGATCGCATGAATATTCCTTCTGTTTTTACATAATTTATTTCTCACAGTTCGGTGTTTGCCGCTTTAAGTTTCTTCAATATTTCCTTTTGAATTCATATATCATTTAGGGTCTCTAGATTGATTTGCAATTCATCGATATTTTTAGTATGCTGTTTTCTTTCTGATCTGGTTTTCGCTTCCATTCGGAGGGGTATTTTAAAGTTTGACCTCCTTGCATCAACAGTAGTGTTTCGAAAAAGAGTTGGTCATATTTGCTCACGAACATGTTGGTTGATATATGAAGAATTACTCATAATCAGGAGATATTAGATTGGTTCGATTTACATACTGTTACGTTGTGTGAAGCGATACTCATGACCGCATCACACGTGGCGTCATGTTCAGGATGTCTGTTCCGGATTAGCGTCTATGTTCAAGTAAGTCGTTTCCTTTCTGTTCTCGCTTTCATTTCATTTGTGAGGAGTATTTTATAGTTTCACTTCTTATCAACAGCAGTGTTTGAAAAAAAGTTGGTAATATATTTTAAATCTGGCGTTCATCTCTCTCCCCCCCCCCCCCCCCCCCCCCCCCCCCCTCTCTCTCTCTCTCTCTCTCTCTCTCTCTCTCCCTCATGCTTGTCAGGATGAAGGCAAAATGTTCCTCGTGTATGTTGTACGCAGAGCAAACTAAAAGGAAGTGATCTTCAACCTCAATATATGCATCATTGCAACCTTTACATAATCGACCGCGGTGCATTGACATATCTACCAGATGTAATATGCAAATAATGTGAACAACATCGACATTGTGCTGGGGTCACTTTGAATGTTTTGATAGAAACACATTTTCTGGTACAGCTCTCTTCCAACAAGTAACTTTAAGCAATACATATGTTGATGTTTTGGTAGCGTTTTGGAGCATGCTATGCCGGTCCTGTTCACAGATATATATTTTAGGCGTGACATGGATGCAGATAAGAAGGGCCGTGAAGATCAGGACCGGTAGAAGAGGTCTTCAGGAACCCATGTTTGCCATAAAAGGCGACTATGCTTGTCGTAAGAGGCGACTAACGGGATCGGGTGGTCAGGCTCGCTGACTTGGTTGATGCATGTCATCGCATCCCAATGGCGTGGATCGATGCTGATGTTGTCAATCACTGGATTGTCTGGTCCAGCTCGATTATTTACAGACCGCCGTCATATAGCTGGAATATTGCTGAGTGCGGCAGAGGCGTATGCTGAATACCTTGCTTACTCTGAATGTCTTTTCATTAAACGTGTGTTCAACATACAGTGTCATACCCTACAGGACTCAAGAATACAAACACTAACACGACCCTCCCGAGAGCTAGTATGAGGGTAACGTATGTCAAATGTAAACAATGGCGACTATATGTAAACAACATGTATGTCGAGTTGTGAGTATCTTCAGAAAGACGTGTTTCTCTACACTGATTGTTCAGTGCTCGGTATATCACATCCATGAGAAGCTTCCCAGAAGGGCATTATGTATCCAGACGGCAATGGAATGAGGATATTTCTTGTTTCACATTGCTTGATGGTATTAGCTGGGT